TCATTGTTGTTTGGCGGGCCTGGGCTGGGGATTCAAACCCGCCACCTTAGGTGTATGTGGCTGGCGCCTTAGCCGCTTGAGCCACAGGTGCTGAGCCTTGACAAGTTTTCTTTATAGAAGAACTCAAGTTAGCAAATGTAGAAGAAGTGAGGGAAATAGAAAATCACCATAAGCAACATCACAGCAACAACTACTGCAGGCTAGACCTACTGATGGATGCTAATATTAGTGGGTAAAAGTTTAAAAAAAACCAGGCCAGGCACACTGGCTCATGCCTATAATCCTAGTACTCTGGGAGGCCAAGGTGGGTGGATTGCCTGAGCTCATGGGTTCGAGACCAGCCTAAGCAAAAGCAAGACCTCATTTGTGCTAAAAATAGAAAAACTGAGGCATGAAGATTGCTTGAGCCCAAGAGTTGGAGGTTGCTCTGAGCTAAGATGCCACAGCACTCTACCCAGGGTGACAGCTTGAGACTGTCTCAAAAAAAAAAAAAAGTTTAAACACACCCTATATTTATTAATTACAATGAAAAAAAGAGTTAACTGTCCAGTGGAGAAACTTGATAGACTCCACCTTAACCAAGCAGCCAAGGTTAACATTACCAGCAGTGAGGCCCAGGGATGCATGCTCCCGAGACTACCTGAGGAAGGGGTAACAGGACCACTGGGGCACTGCCCAGATGCACGACCTCAGTTTATTCATAAGAGATCACTAGATAAACCCTAATTAAGAAACATTCTACCAACAAAAAAGATCAGTAATCCTTTTTTTTTTTTTTTGAGACAGTCTCACTATATCTCTGTCGGTAGAGCACTGTGGCATCACAGCTCACAGCAACCTCAAACTCTTGGGCTTAAGCGATTCTCTTGCCTCAGCCTCCTAAGCAGCTAGGACTATAGGCGCCCACCACAATGCCTGGCTATTTTTTGTTGCAGTTGTCATTGTTGTTTAGCTGGCTGGGTCTGGGTTTGAACCTGCCACCATTGGTGCATGTGGCTGGTGCTGTAACCACTATGCTATGGGCGCTGAGCCTAAAGATCAATAATCTTCAAGAGTATCAACATCAGGAAAGACAAGAAAAGACCGAACAATCATCACAGATTAAAGGAAACTAAGAAAACACTGAAGACAAAGCAGGAGACTGGCTGGATCTCTGAACAGAAAAAAGTAGAGAAGCTGAAGAAACTCCACTAAGTCTGCAGTTTACTTAATAATATTGGACAACATAAATATTCTGGTTTTGATGTTTATACTGTGGTTATGTAAGTTGTTAATACTAGGAGAAGCTGAGCAAATGGCTGTGGAAATGGGAACTCTACCTTTGCAACTTTTCTACAAGTCTAAAATTATTCCAAAATAAAAGGTTCTTTCCTTTATTCCTTTCTTCTTTCATTTTTTTTTTTTTTTAAGAAGTAAATCTAAGTCAGGCTTGGTGGCTCATGCCTGTAATCTCAGCTCTTCGGGAGGCTGAGGCAGGAGTACTGCTTGAGTCCATGAGTTTGAAACCAGCTGGGCAATGTGGGAGGCCCCATCTCTAAAAGAAAAATATTTAGCTGGGCATGAGAGTGCACACCTGTACTCCTTGTTGCTCAGGAGGCTGAGCCAGGAAAATCACTTGAGCCCAAGAGTTGGGTGCTGAGTGGTGACCGCTCCAGGGCACTCTAGTCTGGGTGACAGAGCAAGACCTTCTCTCACCAAAAAAAAAAAAAAAAAAAAAAGTAAATCTAGATCTTGCTATGCAACGTTCACTGGGGGAATGAGAAAAAAACAATTTTCTGTTAATAGCTAACAGGCAAGGGCAGGTCATAGCAGATTTCAGGAGGACCTTGGGAATGTATCTAAACAGTCTTATGAGCTACCCATGCCCAGGCCCGCAGATGTACAAGCATTGCTCCATTACCCTTAACTCTATGCTAGGAAGCAGCCAAAAGGCCAACAGCTTAGGTCTTGGGCATCTCAATGTCTAATATATATGTAAAAAAGAATGCCATTTTTATTTCCATGAATACTCTTCCCAGGTAACAGCAGCAGATAGCTTCAGATTTTGCATTCTAAGACACATGGTAACCAAATGATGGCTGTGACAATCAAGAAAACAGAGCCAAGCCACCACACATCCAAATACGTTCACTGAACTCTCAGTCCATGCAGTGAACTGGTATCCGGCAGTGTGCTGGGACTAGGAATACAGATTTTGACTCCTGTCTCTAAGAAAAAGGAAAAGGAAAAGGTGTAAAGCTGATAGGGAAAGTGAAAAAGGAGGCCCTGAACCAGCCTCTGGATGAAAAAGGCTGAAAGATGTCAAACCAGAATACTAGTTTATTCACAGCTCATATCTTTAGGGCTAAACATAATGACTGAACCTCAGCACTTAAATGCTCCCTAGGTTCTGAATCAAAGCAAGGGTCAACCCCAGTGGAAAAGCACAAGTTCTCACAAACCCATGAACAGGAGGACTACGTATACACTCACAGGGTAACTGGTACTTCTCAATTAAAACGTATGGCTAGATCACTGAAAAAGCACATCAGAACACACCAATGATTTGGAATGACTTTGTAGAGTTGGGAATTTAACACGATTCATCTCTGAAATATACACGAAGCAAGCAAACTGGACTCTGTAGATGATCTACGAAGTTTGATCCCAAGCAGTCCAAGGATTCAGAGTTCCTGGGTTTCAGAAAAATAAGCTTAGACGATCTATTTTATGTATTTCTCAGGCTTCAAATTAAATAGAAATACCTAAATTTTAGTAGACTCATGTACCTAGCTATTATTGCTTACATTTATAACACAGGCATAAAAGGCATGTGGTTTTGAATACCCTTCATCACCTCATTAACTTTGGACAATTAAGCTAACCCAGTTTCTGCTTCCTTATCTTTAAAGTGGGGATACCAGATACCAACACCAACCTCAAATGGTTGTTGGAAGGATAAAATGAAATGCCAATGTAAA